CATTCTTCTATGTGGGAGCACGGGAAGGGGCGGTGGAGAGAGGAGTTTATTGAGCATGAAAACTGCTTTTGTGAAACTTAATCTAGAACTCACTACCTGAACAAGAGAAGAACACGCACTCATTCATTAGTCCAAAGGTCCCTAGGTCAGAGATACGGCTTTCCTTTAAAGCTCCTTTTGCTTTTACTGGAGTTAGGAGAAGCAGTTCGTAGTAGAGTCGTGAACAACAACCGCGATCACTGGCATATCTCGATATTCAGAGGCAACAGAAAAACGCTAGGGGGTAGGGGGTTTACCCCTCAGCAGAATTAACTTGCTACCGAGCTCATAATAAAAAAAAAAAACTTCTTGGGAAGTGAAGATGGTGGCGGGGAAGGGTCGCGAGCTGCAGGCCGAGAAGCAATAGCAACTTTGAATCCGAGTTGCCTAAGAAGATTCAGGCAATGGCAATTTCTGCAAACAGAATTGTCGGCAACCCTGGGTCTTGCAAAGTTGGACCACGAAGAGCTCAGCTTGGCCGAAATGGAGAAGGCTGGGGGTGAAGTGGTGTGGGGAGACCCTTCAGCCAACACCCCCCACCCAAGCTGCGGCTTCCCTCCACACCCTTCCCCCTCTCCCCGACAGCTTCCTCTTGCTCTCCCAGCCCCTTCCCCCCACGTGTGAATGACGTCAAAATTCCTCGAAAAAGCCGCGTGGCGGCTACAGAGGAGTGATTGCCAAGGTTGTGCCCCCCTCCCCCTTACCCCTACTGGAATGGATGGGGGGCTGGGGCCAGGAGGGCGCCCCAGAAGAGAAAACTGTGGGGAAGATAGGTGTTTTTTTTTCCTCCTGGGGAGTCGGGGGCACTCCAGGATGCGGTGACTCCTTCCAGGAGAACTCCCACCACCTATATTGTTGGAAAATAAATTTCCATAAAGCTGTAATAAATTTCCCGGCCCTGTGAGAAGTGTGAAAAGCTGAATCAGGCAAGAGAACCATGGAAAGTTTTGACCTTTTATTTATTTATCTTTACTTTTCCCGGAAAGAAGAGTGGGGCGCTAGTAGGTGAACATAAGGCAAGCGGTAGCCTCTTAAAATGCACTTGCAGCATCTGTTGCGTCCGGAAGAAAACACGAGTCTGCATCAAAATACAGTAAATAAATAGAATAATTAGACAGAAAAAGACACAGACACACACACACAGAAGACTCGACCCATCCTCTCACCTGAAACGCCCTGGGGATCCAACAAGGGGTTGCTCCCCGGGAAACTCAAACTACACCTTCATACCTGTGCTCCCCCGCCCCGGGCAAGACAAACTGCCATTGTGGCTTTAGTCTACAGCCCGTGCCCACCACTGACTCATTTCTACTTTCACTCTTATTCCCCTTCCTTTCCTCCTCTTTCCCACCTCCGTGCTTCTTTTATTTTCCTCCCCTTCTTCACTTCCTAGGTCACTCAAAGAATTTCTGAAGGAGAGAAATAATGTGCTGAGATTAATTTTCAAATGACCTTAGGATTTTAATTTTCTGACCATCTTTCCCTTCATGAAATAATTAAACACCTACTATCAAAGAAAGGATTACTCTTCCCCTCCCCCCACCCCATCTCAACCTCCTAGTTTGGCCAACGGAGGAAATGCCCCCCGATCTCCAAGTTTGTTGCTCAGTGGAACACGGTTTACAATTGGGTCCGTGCTGTGAACACGTGCCTCTAAACTTTAACCCAGCTCCACGCTCACCTGGCTGGGGTGTATTTGCCAGGTGAGTGTGTTACTGCGGATTCCTGCGCTGTTACACGCGGCTCGGAACACCGGGCTGGTCTCTACCCCTACAGCGTTTTGTACACTTTCCAACCGAAACTACACAAACACATGGAGAAGGGGCGGGGAGGGGGTGGTAGAGAGACCAGAGAACTTGCATTCCCCAAAATTTAGCCTTGAAACTACTGGACACTTTCCTTGTGGAGCTGAGTTGCTAGAGGGAGAACATACACCGAGAAACACCTTGATCCTAGAGGTTGTTTTAACCTCAAAGTCAAACCCAAGCGCTTACTTTTTAGCTAAAGGTACAAATAAACTTCTGACCCCCTCCCCAAAACAAGCTTTTGTGTGTGTGCTTAGAAACCAAAGTGTTTTCTTCTTAGCACTGTAGTCCTTTTTAAAAAAAATTTTTTTTTGTTCTTAACGCTACGTTTTAGACTCTGTAGTGATATACACGGCTCGTGTAGAGAAACCCCCTTCCCCCACTAAGATAAATTGGAGACCAGAGAGTGATAAAGAGCGCTGCTAGTGTACAGGAACAGTCAGTAATGGGAAGAAGGGAGTGAAGAAACTTTTAAAGAGGCTTTCATGGACTTAGCCTGCCAAACGGAATTTGCCCGAGCTCACGATCTTAATGAATGAAGGATAGAATCGGAGATTTCTTTCTTGTCCCTCCTCTCCCCTCCCCCTTTCTCCTCAGCCTCCCTTTGCTGGTATTTCAAAGTAAAGCAAGCCTCGGCTAGGACAGAAAGGGGGAAGGGCGGCACAGTAGACTTATCATCTTAGCCCACCCCCAAAGTCTCTAGGACTCTTATTCACCCCAGCTTCCCTCCCCCGGAGTGAGTAAGGCCTGGGGGAACTGAGACTTGTCTCAACCCACCACAGTGCATCTATAAGAACGGTACTTTCCATCTTCTTGCATGGAGATAGGGTAGGGGACGGTGACCAGTTATCAAATAATGCAAAATATGAATGACACACTGCTGGGCTGGAAATTGTCCCAAGCTTCTGTCCTTGATTACCCAATTACATATCTTCTTTCTTTAAAATGCACCTCCCTTCTTCTTTCTCTCCCCGCCCCCCACACAGACCACGGCTGTTTGATCTGTAGGTTAGGTGAAGTTTGAATTATTTCTCAATGGTTTTTAAAAATAGAGATGTTTATTTATCCAGAGTGACTCAAATCCCCAGTCGGAAACTCCAAGCTGACTAAAATCAATAGTTTAAAAGAATTTACTGTATTCCCAGTAATACTACAGTCAAACCGAGGGTCATCTGTGGCGCAGAAAAGTTTCAAGTTTGCAAGTTGGGTTTGCCAGCGAGCTTTTAATTTTTTTTCTTTCTACAAAGTTAATGGCTTCCAATCAGCAGTCACACATCCTTCTACTCCTGCCCTCACACAGAGTAAATCGGATACCGATTCTCCCCTCTATTGATTAGGTTTGAAAGGTCCTCCTTCCTTTCCCCAGCCCCCTCCTAGCTTCTCGCCAACTTTGCTTTCTTTTGATATAGAGGGGAATGCTTCCTACTAAGAAAAAAAAAAGTAATCTGCCCAGTAACATTCAGCGCGCAGTAGCAAGAGTCTCTGAGCTATTGGCTATGCAAATAGAGGGAGGGGAGAGACAGCTCCCCAAACTCTTACTCACCCTTTTAAAGTGATATGCCCCCTCCCCTCAACCATCCACCCCTTCCGCCCCACCCTCCTTTAAAGGGGCTGAATTAATTGCAAGTACTTTGGGTTTTCTCCACTTCTACCTACCCTTTGGTACTGCACTTCTTGGTCTTGAAAACCTCTTGAACAACTTCATCCAACTTCACCGCCTCCGCACCACACCACACCACCTTCTCCCCACCCACCCCCTTTGCCCTCACATCTTCCTTTCTCCTGTCCCTTCTTATTAAAGCTTGCAAAGCATTCTACCTCCGCTTATAGGGTGGGAGAAAAAGCTAGCAGCACCCGGTACCCACCAGCACGTGCTAACTGCCCAACGGGCGTGGCTACGAGATAGCAAAGATGACATCCCATTCTCCTAATATTAGATGCTGGGGAGGGGGGTGCGGCAGTAGAGAACAGCAGTGGCCTAGAGACAGACATGGTCTGTGCATTTAATAGCTAATAAAAAGAAAGAAAACGATGGCTGCCAGCAATGCATCCTGAGGAATCAATTTGGATGAACGCAAATGACTGCGGAGATTGTCAGTTTTGCGATGAAGGAAAGGTGGGGGGAGGGGAGCTAAATCTAATCAGTCCCCTCCTCCACCTCCCCTCTATTTCCTAGAAAGCTGTATCTGTGTGGTCAGGCCTTGTTCAGAAACCTCCGGCTGCTTCTCCGCAGATAGAGGCAAAGTCGAGCTAGAGGGGGCTTTAACTCCTGAATGCTTGCTACTGGGGAATCCCTGGGTCTTATTCAGGCCTTCTGCCAAACTCCTTTCTTTCCCTACCTTCCTTATCCTTATATTCCCCATCCTCTCTGGCCAATTGCTTCATCATGCCCCCCCCCCGTCCCACCTTAGGCACACACAATCCCCCAGAGTAGAATGCTTCCCTCTTGGAGTTCCTGTCTGCTGGGGGTGCATCCACCCTCCCAGGAACCGTCACCCTTCCTCTTCCTTCTCTTGCTCGTCTAGAGGAAAAGAAGGTGGTTTAAGCAAGCGCGCGCGCGGGACTCGGACGGGAGGCGGGGACTGGACGTTGTATTCTGAGCACTTTTATCTGAAGTGCACCGAAAGAAGAATTTTTCATTTAAATATGAATTTCAAAATTGCCCACTACCCCGCCCCCCTGCATTCATCCTTCACTATCCAAGGATCTGGAGATAGATATAGGAAAAGCCAAAGTGAGTGGAGGCTGGGTTTTGTTTGGGGAAATGGGAACCCCCTCACTCCAACTCCAAACATACACTGCACTAAGACTTTTGGGACACTGTATAATAGGATTCATTAAAAAAGTGGAGGAAGAAGGTGAAACGAGAAGCTGTCATTTTTTATGGGCTACCCCATACGTGGGCCCCTGGTTCCTTTTTCCTAGAGCGGATAGAGGGAGAGGGCAAAGGAGAAAAGAAAAGGGGGGGAGCGTTTGATGTTACGTCTGACCAGCTGCTGTTCTCCATAATAACGAGAAGGGAAGGGAGGGAGAGAGGCTGAAAGAAGGAGCGGAGGAGGAACTAGGGGGAGGAGAGAGTGAGTCGAGGGAGAGAGGGAGGGGAGCTAACTGCCCAGCCGGCTTACGTCACTGCCTCCTCTGTAGGAGGAAAGAGAGTCTAAAACAGACCAGAAAAGTTTGAAGGGAGAGCAGGAGTGAGTGGGGCAGCCCTCTTAAAGCCTCTTCCTCATCTACTCATCCTGCTTCTCTCCTCTGGTCCCCCCCTTCTTTTTTCTAAAAGAAGGAGGTAAGAACCCCCACCCCACCCCCCAAGACCTTTTCTAATCTTGAGGAAAGGGGGGGCGGGGAGGGAAGAAGAGTAGGTTCTTGGGAACGTCATGGAGCTGCTGTGCTGCGAGGTGGACCCCATCCGGAGGGCTGTGCCGGACCCCAGCCTCTTGTTCGACGACCGTGTTTTGCTTAACTTGCTCACCATCGAGGAACGCTATCTGCCCCAGTGCTCCTATTTCAAATGCGTGCAAAAGGACATTCAGCCCTACATGAGGAGAATGGTGGCGACTTGGATGTTGGAGGTTGGTCTGGACCCTCTCCATAGCAAATCTCCCCCCACACACACACCTCCCACCTCTATTTCGGGGACCCAGAGGGGTTGGGACCTTAGAGATTTTGCACCGCGCACTCTTAACCTACGCTCGGTTATTCCGCGCGCGCCTTTGCTGGACTCGTGGCCTTTTTTATGATCTGCGCTAGGCAGGATTGGAGGCGGGGGCGGAGGGAAAATGAGGGAGATTGGGCTGAATCTGGGTGAGGTTTGCAATGAGGGTGGCGGCCACAGAGGGTAAGGCTGTGGGCTTTTGAGCCAGCCCGCGTGTGCAGGTTCGCATGTGTTTCTTTGCTTCCAACCCCCAAACTGCGGTGGCTGCTTTCGGCGTATCTGTGCAGCGTGTGTGTGTGTGTGTGTGTGTGTGCGTGTGTGTGTGTGTGTGTGTCCGCGCCCGCGTGTGCTTGTATGTGTGTATGGGTATGTGAGCAGAAAAGCTGCAAAAAATGTGTAAAAAGCCAATTCATCTCAGCCCCAAGTCTCCGCATGCGGTCGGGGCTCCACTGTTGGCATTGAAGAGTTGGCTGGGGGGAGGGGGAGTGGAGAAGGAAGAGACGCTGAGAATTAAGTAGCCCCAGACGCTGCACAGAAAAGAGGGGGGCAGAGATGACCCCCCCCACACACATACACACTTTCTCCTCCCCCACCCAAAACTTTGCCCAGTAAGTTTCTCAATGTGCCCACGTATGCATAGCCCTGGACCTGCCATGGTTTTCGCCATGTTGCTTTGCAAATTCAGGTTCAAGAAGCTTGAAACTACTCCGCACCTCTCGAAGACCCCTATAACCCCAGCGCCCCTCTAAAGGGTTTTTATTCGGCCCCCAACCCCACATCCCTGGAAGGATTACTTAAAAGAGCTCAGCTTAACAGTTTGCTTTGTGCGGAGGAAATTTGGGTGGGGTACGGAAGGAAGGCAAAGGGGTTCAGGACACCCCTAGAAAAAGTCATTTGAGGGTTGCCGACCCTCAGTTGTTCTTCACATCAGCCCTGTTTCTCCACCCCACCCCCACTACCTTCCCTTGCTCTCATCCTTGTGGGGCCCAGCGGGACTTAGCGGTCACTTGCTCGTTCTTAACTGCCTCTGAGCTAGTTGGACCTCTGTCATGAAGTATTCCAAAGAGTTGAAATAAAAGTGTCTAAGCACCCCCAACACACAGATTTGGAAAGCTGGAACCCTTCTCGGGGTTTTCGTGCTCAAAAGACTTCTCTAGGATTATTCCTCGATTTTTAGTAAATTTTTGAAGCAGCCACGGCAAGTTCTCCAGCTCTGTGCTGCTGAGACTGCGACATCTCTTCCTCTCCTCCCTCCCCCCTTTTCTCCACCTCCACCCCCACCCCCACCCCACTAGCAACTGCTGGATCTCAGAGCCACGAAATACACCCCTCTTCTACCTCCCCAAGCATTTTTTCAAGTATAAGGAATGATAGACCAAGGGTCGTGGGGTCTGAATATGTCCAAGTATTGCCCACCAGTTGCCTGGGTAATTTTGATTTTATTTTTTAATACGAAGAAATTAAAAAAAAAGGGGGTGAGAGCCAGCAAAAGAATTATGTAGCAAGAGAAAGTGGGATAGGCAGGCTACTGTTTATTACTTTGACTTTGGGGTTTTATTTAATTCATTTCTATTTTTTTCTTTAATGGAATCGGGATGTCAGATACCTGGTCAGCTGTCTATAACTTCCTCTGCCTCTAATCTTATCACTCCATCACATCCGCAGCCCTCCCTACCCCCTAAAATGAAATCGTTTGAGTTGGTTAACTGTATTCTGCTTCTCCCTCTTTCTCTGTATCTCCAATGCTCTCTTCTCCACCCCCCCCCCCCCCCCATTATAGGTCTGTGAAGAGCAGAAGTGCGAAGAAGAGGTCTTCCCTTTAGCCATGAATTACCTGGACCGCTTCTTAGCTGGGGTGCCTACTCCTAAGTGCCGTCTACAACTTCTGGGTGCTGTCTGCATGTTCCTGGCCTCTAAGCTGAAGGAAACAATCCCGCTTACTGCAGAGAAACTGTGCATTTATACCGATAATTCTGTCAAACCCCAAGAGCTGCTGGTAATTAATGCCTCCTCCCTCCAATTCTGTTCATTCTCCATTTAGCCTTAGCGCCTTTCCTGTCTCTCGTCTTCCTAGATTCTTTCATTTACCCTAGCTCTTTTATACCGAAAACTTTCTCTCTCCTCATATCAAGAAAAGAAGGTGTAAGTCTAGGTTGTTTAAATGTATACTGTATATTCGTAATAGTAGGTATTTTGGTGAGAGAAGGAAATGATGATGGGGGTCTTCTGCTCTGCAGAGATTTAATTTTAATCCTTGACTACTGAGAAAATAATGATCCAACTTCTCCAGATGATGGCTGTTGGTGGAGTCTGACTCGATTGTAGATTTAGAGCTAGAAGAGATTTCTGAGGTTATTTCATCAGTCCCACCTCCTCATTTTAAAGATGAGGAAACTGAGGCATGCAATGATGGAGTAACTTGAGAGCTGGGACCGTATTTCATAATACGGTCCCAATGATACCTTAGGTTAGTAGACTATTCAGTATTTGACCTTCAGTTTTTAGTATCATTGAAGTGTTAGACTTTTTTGGGGGGGGTGGGGGGGAGATATTTTTTGCACCAGGTTGGAAGGAGAAGGGAAGAGAGTGTTGAGGGGTTACAGTGATCCTTGTCATGGAACTTTTTGGTTTATTAGACACCACCCTCTCTGCCCCCCCCCCAAATTAGTAAGAGGGCTGAAGATTTTTCCTCTCTCCTTTTTATACAAAACATCCCTTCTCTTTTTCCCTAAAGCTGCCTCTCAGGTACCAGGGATTGAACTAGATCTATGTCTCTTTCAGCTCTGTGATGTCCATAGTGGCCTTGATCTATAAAAAGTGTTTGGGGTTCTCCTAAGGAGATTTCATTTAATTGGTAAAGGGGGCCTTTCCTACTCGGGCTGTGCTGCCACCTAGTGACAGAAATTCATAACCGTAGAGGTGGGAGGAAGGATTTGCCAAGGGATATATATACCGAGGCAGTGAATGACTTCACCTTTGAAACACTGCCAGATTTCAGCTGCCTCTCTGAGGCTGAAGAAAAGTGGTTTCCTCTAGAGAGATATCTCTTCTTTAAATTGTGCAAGAAAAGGCTCTTGCACCAATATCCTTTTATACAACTAGATGCTGGGGTTTCAATCTCACTTTGTAGGCAGTAAGACCTCAGGATTTCACCAGTTTCCAAAAATAGTTGAAGCTGACTTTGGAGCTTATGGAGGGGAAACTGTAGGGTTTGGGGACCAGGCTATTATTCTGTGGGCAATGGAATGTGCCCATATCAATTCATAAGAGCCGGAAGAAAGATGTCAACATCAGTGACAGCTCCATTCATTTCAACACACTGGCAAAGTCATAAGTCATGTGTTCCATTTAACAAATATTCTTTAATCATATCCTCTGTGCAAGACACCAAACCAGTGGGCCAGGCTAACATTTTGTACAATGTCTTTAGATTCAACAGGCAAGATATTCTGCTTGCTGAGGACAAATGTGGAGATGTTCAGTTCAGGGCAAGATCCATAGGAAAATAGTATGGTCTCTGACCTCGAGGACTTGCAGTTGAGTAGGGCTGATGAAATGTATTCACAGATAAATATAATACTGATTAAACCATGATACACAAGATATTTTCGGAGTTCCCTGAAGACATGGACTGGAAGCTTCTTCTGAGGTTATCGAGTCCATCCTTAAGGGACATTATACCATTCCCCATTCTCATATCATAGGCAGCTAATTTTATTGCTAGAAAAGGAATCTTGAATATCATGGGGTCCAGGCCACTTTCTACATGAAGAAATCAAGGCCCAGAAATATTACGTGTGCCACAAGGTTAAAGAGCTAGTTAGTGGGGAAAAAAACACCACTAAAATTTAATTTTCCAGACTAAGGAGTTAGGACAACATTCTGAACAGTCTTCAAACTGAACAAAGAAGAGAGATTTGGATTTCTCAGGACAAATGTGAAGGTAGTGGTGTTGGAGGTTGGGTTTTCCCTCTTTTCCTTTCTTTTGATGATGTCCTTGTGGTAAATTTTTTTCCTCTAGCTGTCGTATCCTTTTTAGTCAGTTTCACTTTGGACAGAACTCCCTGAATGAGCTCAGTGAGGGCTGATCTTTAAGGAACTGAACGTATGAGATTTAGAAAAGCTAAGGTTTGCATGCTTAGCCCTTTGACTGAGTAATAAAGGCAGCCTTATCAAAGCAGAAGGGAGAGTGAACACCGAGGATGACAGTGAGGATACAAGAAGAACTTAGGCTAGAATGTTGAGTCAAATAATAAACTTATGAAGGTTAAATACAAATTCTTACTCTTGAGGTTTTTAAAAAAAAATCAATTTCATGAGTACAAGATGGGGTAGTTGTGGCTAGACAGCAGTTCATCTAAAAAAACAGTCTGAGTTTTTGTGGATTGCATATTCAAAATGAATCCTTATTGTGATATGGTAGCCAAAAAAAAAAAAGTAATTTTAGGCTCATTAAGAGAGATGTGATCTCAAGGATGAGAGAGGTGAAAGTCCCTCTGTACTCTGTCCTGGTCAAAGTACTTCTGAAGTTTTGTGGTCAGTTCTGGATATTACATTTTGGAAAGGATATTAATAAGCTGGAAGGGTGTCTTGTGAAGGAGAGCCAAAAGGGGGAAGGGCCTTGAGATGATGTCATATAAGGATCGGGGGAGGAACTAGAAATATTTAGCTTGGAAAAGAGAAGGCTTAGGGACAAGATAGTAGGAACCAAATATTTGAAGGGAAGTCATGTGGAAAAGAGAGCAGACTTATTCAGCTTGGCCCTGGATAGCAGATAATAAGGGACAGTGAGTGAGAGTTTAAAAGCTTCAAATGTAGGGTTGATGCTAGGCAATACTAAGAACTGGAACTGTCTTAACATAGAATGGGCTGCCTTAACTAATGGGCAGCTAGGTGGTGCAGTGGGTAGAGCAATGGGCCCTGGGGTCCCTTAGACCTGAGTTCGAATTCAGCCTCAGACACTTATTAGCTGTGTTACCCTGGATAAGTCATTTAACCCTGTTTGCTTCAGTTTCTCAACTATAAAATGAGCTGGAGAAGAAAATGGCAAATCACTCTAGTATCTTTTCCAAGAAAACCCCAAATAGGGTTACAGAGAGTTGGACAAAACTGAACAATAACAAACAAAAACCTCATGAAGTAGTCGACGCCCCTTCATTGGAAGAATCCAAGCAGAGTCTGGATAACCTCTTGGGGTATATTATAGAGGAGATAACTATTCAGGGACCAGTTGGACTCTGAGGTCCTTTCCAACTCTGAGATCATGGTTCTTTGATCTTTCCTTAAATCATGCCACCTAGAAAAATGAGATTGCTGATTACAGTCCCTAGTACAGCACATTTAGGTCTTAAAAGTGTCATTTTTCCAAAATTGATGCATGATTTGCCTGGAAAGATTTTTATTTTATTTTACTTTTATCTTTTTTTTTTTTTAACTCAACAAAGAGAAGTATGGCAACTTTTGGCATGGCCTAGGAAAATACAATCAGACTATTGCAAGATGCAGGTTGCCAAGGAGCAAGGTCAAGGAACATTATTTCTATCTTCATTTTTCCATGAGTAATTTAATTACTAAACATCACTGACACAGACATTAAAAATAAATTTTTACTGAAGGACCACAGCTACCTTGGCACCCTCCAAAGTTTTGGTTAAGCTTTCTAGGTGGGAAAACAGCAGCATTGGATTTGGGACAAAAGGAAGAAGTAGAATCTTGGCAAAGAATAAATACCAGGGAAGGTGGTCCTTAGACTCATCAATGCTTTGCATTTTTAACATAAGTAGAAAATCAACAATTTTCGCAGAATCACAGTCCAAAGAAACTTGAGAGGCCATGTTTTCCAACTGGTACCTGATCAAATGAAGTAATAGTATAGAGCTTTGCAAATCTTACATGACAGCCGTTGTCAACAGTAATACTCTCTATACTTTTCCCAATGAGTAGTCAGCCTGCCTCTGTTTTTCCAAACAACGCCTCAAGTGATGGAGGACCCAGTACTTATGTAGGTAGCCCATTCCACTTTGGATAGCTACAGTTGATGGAGATTTTTTTTTTTGTAAGATCCAGTCAAATCTAGAGTTCTATAATTGTTACCCATTCCTTCCAGTTCTGCCTTTTAGGGTCAAATTAAACCAGTCCAATCCCTCTTCCATATGATGACCTTCTAGATACTTAAAGATAGCCACCCTGTCTCCACCTGGGCTTTCCCAGGCTCATTTCCTTTAATTTATTCTGGTTTACTATGTGTAACTTACTATGTGTAGCTTATCAATATATCCTCCCCTAAAATGGGGCACCCAAAACGTAGCACAGTAGTCTGGGTATAATCTAACCACCTTCTGTCATAGGCTTTGCCTCTTTAAATGCAGCCTAAATGCAGCTCTTTTTTCTGGTCCTTATGTTGCACTCATGGAGTGAGCTCATGAGAATTCTAGCCCCCTCCCCCCACAGGAATGATTTTTTTTTTGAACCCTAGATTAGGATTTTACATTTATTTCCATTTTAACAAATTCAGCCCAGCATTCTATACTATCAAGCTAATTTTTGAATCCTTACAAAATCGTCAAGCAGTTCATATTTAATCTTCCTCAATTTTGTCTCTCAGAATCTTACTTTTTTTTTCACACAAGTGTTATCTCCCAGACTCTCCAGTCCTGCTGCTGTTAGTGTTCCAGCTTCAGATTACCTTGTTTTGACTTGCCTGTGTTTATGTTGTATCTCACCGGTAGAATATAAGTCTTTTCACCGCACTTTGTATATAGCAGGAATGTAAATTGAAGTTAATTTAATCCCTCCCAGCTCAGTGTCCCCTGTAAATTTTATAAGTCATGTTGTAGTCCCAAGTCCTAGATAAAGATGCTACAAAGCCTGGGCAGGTTCCTGAGGGACTCTTTTCCATATTAACCACAAACCATTTTTTACTACTTCCTGCTATAAGCTACCTGCATTTGCATTTTACTCTTCTGAGGTTCCCCAGTACAAGACAGTTCCACAAAGCATTGAAGGCATGGGGAGAAAGAGTTCAGACCTAAACTCTTAGCAGGGATTTAATGCCATTCACTAGAATCTATTGCATCTCTCGTTCCAGTATGTTCAGATTGTATTCCTTTTTTTTTCTTTCCTTTCCCCTAGGAGTGGGAATTGGTGGTATTGGGCAAGTTGAAGTGGAATCTGGCAGCTGTGACCCCTCACGACTTCATCGAGCACATTTTACGGAAGCTGCCCCTGCCGAAGGACAAGCTGCTTTTGATCCGAAAGCATGCACAGACATTTATTGCTCTTTGTGCAACAGGTAAGGGTAGGTTTTGTGTTTTTGTGGGATTAAGGAGCCTGAGAAGCATGGGGTGGGAAACCACACTTCTAGAGAAGTTCACATAGGCCTCGTGTCTCTCAGTTGTTTAGAACAACTTTTTGTGTCCCAATCCTAGAATATCCTCAGTTTCATTGCTGTGATTTTTTTGTTGTACTTAATCTAAGCTTTCTCCTTTTTTTTTCTGGCTCATAAATGGTTTATGAGAACAGGTGTGGTATAGAAAAAAAAAATAGTGCCCTTTAAAGTCTTCTTTATGGTGTTTAAAATGCTCTTTGAAAACTGCATATACTGACTTCTAATTGTGTTTAAATATTTAATCTTTTGGGGGGGGAGAATAGTTTGCAGATGAGCTGAAAGGAAACTGAAGAGTGGGTTTAAATGGAGGATAAAGGAATAATGTCAAAGTACAGATTTTCCTTATTCTAATAAATGAGAACATTGGAGGTCTGGGAGTTTGGGAGAATATAATTAGCTGAGTTTTCTTTTCCTCTTTGAGTTTATACTGAAGCATCTTGGCTCTTGGCATTGTGAAAATGGGGACAGTGACCACATTCTTTACTTTAAAACTTTTAGAAATCAGCCTGGCATATTCAACCACATCAGATGATTAGTTCTCTTGGGCTCCTTTTCCCTCAGTGGACACAGAAACCAGAGGAGAGATGGGTCATCATCTCTCTGAATGGTATCCTTCCCATTGTTCAGTTCTCATCTTTGTAGTAGGCCACATTTAGTACCTGAAGCTCAACCTTCCAGTGGAGAAGGAGGGTGGCTTGGAGTTGAGATGGTAAAGCATCACTTTACATATAAAATACATTTGGGCAGATCTGCCTGAGGATATGGTTCCTTTGGCTCAGTCTGGACACAGAAGGGGAGTTGCATAGCTGTCAGTATTTTAGGAATTAACTTCTGTCATATTGAGAGAAGGGAGTCTTAACTGTTTTTGACATGGACCCATTGAACATTTTAGTGAAGCCTATAGACCCTTCTCAGAATAATGTTTTTAAATGCATAAAATAAATTACATGGTATTACAAAGGAATTTGAAGAAATGTAATTTTTTTTTCCTATTTAAGTTCACAAACCCACAGGAGGTCCATGGAACGTCAGGTTAAGAACACTTGCTTTAGATAACCATTTTACATATTCATTTTGTTATACATGCTCACAGACAGGCAGTGGCATGTAATGCTTTGAGAACCACCCTTGGAGTGAGGAAGGTCTAGGTTAGTATCCTGCCTCTCACACATTCAGACTGTGTGGTCCAGGGTAACTCACTTAACCACTCATGACCAGGCAACTCTCTAGAAATTGCAGGTTAGGGGCCCTCTAATTAATCAATGAATAAAATATTTATTAAGCTCATACTATGTGTCAGGAACTATGCTAAGTGTTAGAAATATGAAAAGAGTCAAAAGATTGTCCTTGCCCTCAAGGAGCTTACAACCTAATGGTGGAGATGGCATGCAAACAAATATATACAAAGCAAGTTACATGTTGGACAGATGGGAAATAATTAACAGAAGGAAGGCATTGAAATGAAGAGGGTTTGGTAAACGATTCCTATAGAAGGTGGAATTTGGGAAGAGACACAAAGGAAGCCAGTAAAGTCAGTAGGTAAAGTAGAAGATTGGTAGAGGAGCTTGCTATACCAGTGAAATCACTGAGCCAGTCAAAAAAAAAAAAGGCTTATAAGCATTACTGTCATCCCTAAATCTGATTAAGGGATGCTGCTATGCCATCTTCTGATATCTTTTTTTTGTATGATGCAGAGTTTGGAATCATAGCTCCATGATTTCAGGTTCCCAACATTTCATTCCATAGTATAAAGTTCTCATTTTCCTCGGTAGTTTTCTGAGGGTTTGATTCCCTCATGTCCTAACCTATTCAATGCAAAATATATCTGTTATGTTTAACGTTGAGAGATATTAGCTTCTCTTCCAGTAGTCCCGCTGGGCTATTCTGTAGAGCCCTGACAGGTTAGACTGAACCATCTTTTTAGACTAAATCATTTTCCCCTTTCTCCCCTTCTGTTTTCTGGCTCGTTCCATGGAGGTCAATCCCTCAGTGACTCATTTAGTGACTCGTTATTTTGTTCTCCTCAGGTCCTACTCTTCCTTTGCTCTCCGTTAATCATACGGCACCATGGGAGTGAGGTTAACTTGTCCTTTCTCTGATCCTACAGTGGTTGACCCCAGTTTCTAAGCTCTCTCATTGCCTAGCTGTCAGGAGCCAAAGAACCATATTGTCCTTATATCCCTACTAACTTTTTTCTAGGATAGATCCTCTTCCAATTTGACCTTTGCAAGTCACTGGGTCTTAGTTTTCTCATTTATAAAAATGAGGGAGTTGGATTAAATCAGTAAGGTCCCTTCCAGGTCCAAATGCTAATCTCTATGATTGCAGGGAGCAGGGCAATTTCCCCAAAGAACAGACCCCTTAATTTCACACCTATCCTAAAATATAGGATTCCTTTCCTGGCTTCCTTAGCTAGCTGATTGCACTTAACTCTTCATCGGAACTAAAACGATAACCTATTGAGTCAAAACAATAGGTTCAGCTCAGATAGAACCTGTTGTGAGAAATACCATCAAAAATGTTTTGCCTTCAGGGAGTTTTTTCTCTGCTTAGGAAGAAAGGGACGTAAACAGGAAAAGGCTTATTAGCAAGTATAAATAAATACTGTGCAAACTGTGAGTGTTCAGTTGGGTAGGATTCATCTCAGAAAGCTTAATGGAGGGGAAGTTTATTGGGCATGGAAGTAATCGTATTATAGCATTTTGATTTAATTGTCTTCTAGTGTTTAATCTGTGCAAGATATTACATAGATACATCCCTGACCAGGACTAAGGGCTTACAATTTAGGGATATTATCAGGAAAAAAAACTGATGGCCCCTTGCCCAGGATATCAGCCTTCCATGATTCCAGATCCTAGGGATCGTTGGGTGAGCATATGAGCCCCTAGCACTATGCTTTGCATGTAGTAGTTGGGATGCAGGCACCACACACCCGCTGAGGTTCAGGTAAATTATATATCAAAACCTAGACTTTTTAACTAGTTCATTCTTTTCTTGTTGCTCTTGTGACTTTCCTTTCCTACCTGGAGATAGTGGATCAGTGGTTGTGGTCGACCATCAGCAGGCTGAGGGGTCTTCTGAACCACTTGTTGACCTCAGAGCCAGTCATCAGGCCAGATCATGGGAATGGATGGCTGTGAAAAAGAACTGGTTGTGATTTCAGTAAGTGGTGTTAGAGAGTATATGTGTGTGAAAGGGCAAGATAGGGAGAGTGAGAACAGAGGGGCCAGCAGAAGGGGGATGAGAACTCTGCCAGTATATATGATTTAGGAGTAAGATCCTACCAACACAAAAGCTCCTTCATTTCTCGATTGGGCCTGGCCTTAAATGGCCATCAAAGTAGATTTGGCTTCAAGATATCTGGATTCCCAGTGGGATCTGACGCAAGCCACATGCCATCCTTAGATCTACCGTTGATGAATGAAGGCCCTTGGGTGAATGCCTTTTTAACAACCAGTAAGGCCAGGCACTTTTCTCCCTTAAGGCATATCCCCCAGCAGCTGAACAGTCAGCTCTTGGACTTCATATTTCCAGATCTGGCAACAATAATAACAGCTCATATTTATATCACACACATAAAGTGCTTTCATATCTAATATTAACTGTCCCTTGGATCATAAGTTGTTTAGACTTGGAAGGGACCTGTTACATGTCAATAGGTCTCAGATTAAAGGAATCATAGGATCTTAAATGAGACAGGACCTTCAACGTAATCTATTCCAACCCACCTTATTTTACCAATGAGGAAACAAGCTCACATTGAGTGATTTTTCCTAAGGTCACACAAGAAGGTTCTAGGGCCAGGATTTGAACCTCAGTCTTCTAGCTCTAAATTCAGTGTTCTTTCTTTAAAAACAAAACAAATAAAAAAAGGTAATTTTAGATGACTCAGGATCCTAATTAAGTGCTTGGTGATGTTTGACTTCTTATGTAATGTTCATAGATTTCCAATGAGAGTAGAAGAACCAATAACATCTCCTTTTGAACCCAACATTGGGAGGAAAGGAGAAGGTGATTAACAATCCCTTTCCAAAGCCCATCAACACAGTCTCACACCCCTTAGGGCACCATGATCCCATCCCTGTGCTGCCATATTTGCTTTGCTTTTGAAGCTTTTCATCCCTTCTCCAGTCAACGCCACCCATCTATGGCATGTGCCATCTGAATCTTGAACTTCTAAACACTGTTACTCTAAAGTGACATTCCCAGGAATACAGAAGATAAGCCCTGCCTCTTACTAGCCATGTGACCTCAGACCACGTAGTTAGTTCCCTTCTCTGGATCTCAGGTTTCTAATCTGTAAAGCCTGAGGTTTGGACCTAGTGATCTCTAAAACTCCACAGGCTGTAATTAATGTGCTGTTGTGATCTGAGCCAGTATAAAGTGAACATCCTGGTTCTTCTCTTTCTCCCTGCCCCAACTTCTATTTGTGCCTCCGAGTTAAGGTAGCAATACCTCAGCTTGGGATCTGTTTCTGATCCTGCTCTTGGAAACAGCATGGCAGCATCTATATTAACTTCATTTGGGAGCCCGTGGGAGGGAGCATGGGACTGGTACCAGCTTTATTCTTCCAACCCTGCCTTTCTCAAGGATGTGGTTTCTGTTGTCTCTTAGTGGTTACCTATTGCAGAGCAGGTATGTGTGTCATTTCCTTTCAAGGTGGGGTAATCATCATTCGTATTTAATTTTAAAATTTAGTATCTTTTGGATCTTAGAATTTTCATAATTATTATCTGAGCAAATGGCCTAAGTGCAATTGTGTCTTTACTCTATTTGTATTGTCATAAAAATGGAACTTAAATCGATATACTAACACTAATCTTAATATGGAGTCCAAGAGGCACAGCATTCAACCAATCACCAAGCGTTTATGAACCATCTACTAGGTACCATGGATGCCAATG